CGTAATCTGGGAGCGAAGTAAAATTCAATAAAAAGTGTCAATCGTCACGTAAATTCTACGATCTGTTCCGTAAAAATTACTCATCCGTCCGACGCCTCACGGCTATCCATGAGTCACCGTGAGGGGGAGATTTCAACAACACGTTCCGTAATTTTTCCGGAACTTTTCGTAAAAATTCTTAAACATCCAAGAATTTTCATCTTCTGAGGCATAATAAGTCTTGAAGTTTCTGTTAGATTTTACAACTTCCAGAAAAATTACGTGATTTTTTCGTATTTTTTCGGTGACAGACCCGTAAATTTACTGAACGTTTCAGATTTATTCTCTTATATTCCTATAGAAATTCTCTGAAAACGATTCTCGCTTGCGGATTACGTGAAATGTTCCGTAATTTTTTTCAATATTTCTCTCCGTGTAGGCCAAACAGGGGTTATAGCTCCCCCGAACTCGATTTTTCTATCTTATGAGAAAACGGTTCTTATGATTTCCTTAAAAAATTAAACCGTGATAGATTGATAAATTCCGAATGCGATGAATTTTTTTTAAATTTTGTACTACATCATTTCTGCGATATTCAACTATAAAAAGCATTCCTTATTTGATTCAAAAAAATAATCAACAAATAATTTCTTATTTGATTCAAACAGTCATTATTGCCTACATCAACAACACGTGAGAATAAAAAAACTCAATAACTACTGAGAATGCAATAAATTAAGTTATTTAGAATTGTTTCGGGAATCCATAGGGACTAACTTTTGTGGTCGATTGTCTTGGGATATACCTTAACAGTCGATCCCCAACAATCTTCCCAGAATCAACGACAAAACTCAGAAATCTTCACGTGCGAGCTCCGAAATTTTTCACTTCCCTCGCCGCGTATGAATTGCTAATTTTTCATGTTTATTCTTGTTCCACATATCAGATGTGCAGAGCTATCTCGTGGCAATTGTCTGAAATCATCAGATGCTGCAGTAGAATTCCCTCTGTACCGATGAAGCAATGCAAATTGCAAGCCCACTTCGTGAGTGATTCAAATGTTTGATGATCATGAACGAATGTGTACTAATGATGTTGACCGAGGTATTCGTTGATATTAAAATTGTACCATCTGCAAACAGCAGGCACAACTGATTGCCACCACGATTTCTCATTTTATCGTTTGTCTCCGGCAAACAAACGTCATACGTTCTATTTATCAACTGGTCTAGTTTCTTTCATGCCACAGTGACAATGGCCATTCAATTTCCACCGCAGTGAGTGCATATCTCGAAAAACTGTGTCAGAGTATCAGTGCAGAGTTATTATCAGATGATACTAAATTACTCAATAGTGAATTTCGCGCGGAGAGATACATTATGCAATGTTTTATTTGGGATTTTTCTTTTTCTTTCGATTTTAGTCCGCCGACATTCAAAACAGCTACGCCGACGTCGAGGACACACTTGAAACTCCAGTTGATGAGGGAGCAGCTGCAGGAGCAGGAGAGAAAGGAAGCGGAATTCCGGCAGAGTCTGCAACAGCAGAGGCCAGCAGCCGCTGCCCCTAGGCTAGTACCACCCACTCAACTAGCGACAATTGGTGTGGATGTTCCACCCCAAGTCCTTCAAGTATGTATGGAGTATCAGTCGGAGGGGAAAGTTCATTTACATTGTTGACAATTTTTCACTGAAATTTCCAGTTCGGGTTTTGGAAATTTCTCATAACAGTTCCACTGAAATTTCAAGGAATTTTGTAATTGAAAATTCATAATTTCATGGAAAAATCCGTGGGAACTGTCGATTTAAGTTGAATTATTCCGGGAAAATTAATTACAAATCACGGAGATCTCTGGAATTCCAAGCATTTTACAGCAATTTCCTGAAAATTAAAGGGAATATTAATTTTTACGTGAATGATCATGTAAATTGGGGAATTTCTGTTTTCATGCCGGGAAAAACATAAGACGTCATTTGAATTTTCAGAGAAACTTGAAATTCCATTGGCTTTTTCGCAAATTCCTCGAAATTAAATTCTAGGTCTTTTTTCGGAAAATTCAGTCAAATTTGTTTAATAGTGTACCGCTTAACAAAAATTCTAATTCATACGTAAATTCATAATTTTATGAAAAAATCCGTGGGAAGTGCAAATCTAAATTTAATTATTCCGGGGAAATTAATGAAAAGTCAGGAAAGTTTGGAGAAATATTTTTTTTTATTCCAGATTTCCCAGAATTTGCAGGGAATTCCTTGAAACATTTCTGGAATTCCAAGAATTTTACCGAAATTTCCTGAAAATTGAAGGGAATTGAGCGGTGAATTTTCATTTTCACTTGATTGTTCCTGTAAATTGTAGAATTTCTGTTTTCATGCCATGAAAAGCATAAGACGTCATTTGAATTCTTAGAGAATCTTGAAATTCTACTGACTTCGTCCCCTTAAATTGAATTCCGGATCTTTTTGGGGAAAATTCAGTCAAATTTTTTTAACAGTGTGCCGCAATTATTCAATTTGAGATAACCCCACGGCTTTATACCACAGAAAGAATTCATTGACGAGGAAGGAATATTTATTCGAAAAAAAAATTCTAAACCATTTAAATTCATAATTTCTTTGAAATATCCATGGGAGCTGTAATTTTGGATTGGCTCGGCCAGATAGTTGCATTACTCAAGAATTTTGTAGTCGTATATTTGCCGATTTTAGGAAGCCCGTCTTTTTATCGTTAATGGCCCAAGAGTGCGCTCCACTGTGTTTACAGTGTGTCGTACCTGCGATCCTGCGCTCGTCGGTTAGATGAGATAAGAGATAGGTATATACGGAATAGTTTGCTTTAGATTACCGACAAGGCGTCTGCGGGAACGAGTATGAGCTCAGGGAGAAGAGACAAGTATATACGGTTTACTCAATACCCACACATTTACAGAGGTTATAGACCGTGGAAAGGCGAAAACGTAATAGCTTTCTTTAGATTATCCGGCTATCCGTAGCCGTGCGCGCACCGCCGATGTGAACTGGATTACCATGAACGTCTGGATCAGCTGTCCAAATTATGCTGCAATATTCACAAATTTTCGAGTTTAATAATGACTAGATTGTTAATGTTTAATCAGCAGGGGATAGCTGGGAAAATGAAAAAATATTCCTCTTCATTCAAGCACTGATTTTCTTTTTTCCGAGTTTGATGAGAATAAATGTTGCGAGTGATGTCTTTGTAAATATTGGAAAAGTTCAGGATGAACTTTGATGGAAATAAAACAGAACAATTTCCAGATGAAGGGCACCTCCAAAACAATTTCAATGAAACCCTGCCAAATCATCAATCCCATTATTTCCCAAAACAAGCCCTATTCTCTTTGAAGTAAGACCAAAATTCCCAATTTGAAAATTCCTTCAATCAGCTTGTTATCCCTACGAATAGCACACTTTTAAAACATTCTCCTCCAAAGATATTCATGATATCAATTCCCCAGCTGAGTTCTCAAACGTTAAAGTCACCCAGACAATTAATCATCAATTATGATTAAGCGATCTCCAACACGGCAGGAATAAACCCTGGAAAAGCCTATCTACCGGTGAATGAATCTTGTTCTTGGGTTGCATTAGTCTCATAAAAAGATGAGTTTCTATGTCTTTCCGAAGACAGGGAAACGTCATCCTGATTTAAAAGACAAGGCTGCTTAACTCTGACTCAATGGCTTGCTAGACAAAGATGAAGGGCACTTCCAAAACAATTCCAATGAAACCCCACACAATCATCAATCCCATCATTTTCCAAAACAAGCCCTATTCTCTTTGAAGTAAGACCAAAATTCCCAATTTGAAAATTCCTTCAATCAGCTGATTATCCCCACGAACAACACACTTTTAAAACATTCTCCTCCAAAGATATTCATGATATCAATTCCCCAGCTGAGTTCTCAAACGTTAAGGTCACCCAGACAATTAATCATCAATTATGATTAAGCGATTTCCAACATGGCAGGAATAAACCCTGGAAAAGCCTATCTACCGTCGAATGAATCGGGTTATTGGGTTGGATCAGTCTCATAAAAAGATAAGGCCACCAGCGCACACACAACGTCCGTCGTCTCTGTCCCCGTTTATGGTTTACCCGGAATTCGTTCAATTCCGTTTCATCTGGCTCAAGTTACCGAGGGCTTCGCGATATCCCCACCTCCTCCCAGATAAATCATGACCGCTGGCGCTTGTTTTATTCCCTCCATTCTCCTCCTGTCGTATTCTGGCTCATTGGTTACATTCGACGCTGCCCTCCAGCATCCGTCGATAAACATGTCCCTTACGCTCCTCATGCAATTACGGAAAAATACTTCCAACGAGATTGAGTCCCAACTGTTCAACAATAATTCATTGTTCGCAGGTCAGAACACTCCTGGAGAATCCGACGCGCTATCACGTGGTGCAGAAGCAGAAGAATCAGGTTCGTCAGTATTTGCACGAGTCGTTTCGATCGAATGATGGAGACACGACAGAGGGACTCGTTGGTTCTAGTTATGGTAGTGAGGGTGGAGGAACACCGATTGACACGGGACCTTCGCAAATGCCTATGGCAGTACAGAGTGCTCCACCGGGCCCTGTTGAACACCCTAAACCACAGGCTCCGCATCTCGCATCGTATCCATATGCACCGGCCCTGTTGCCAAGGTTATCTGGGGTCTCAGCCAGTCCAGATCCTACCAGTGGTGCTATGTCGCCGGGACTCTCCAGCGTTGCCACCAGCAATTCTGAGGTGAGTGGGCTTCTACTCATTATTCTTTTCCATCACGCTGTGCGTAAAGTGATTGCTTTTTGACGCAACCAAATCCGTAGTGCAAGACGTAGAATATGAACAAACACATTTGCGCGACCAATATTTCCATGCGTTTGATGTAGTGAATGCTATTCTTCCTGAAGTTAGTAATGGTTTTGTGGAAGCCAGGTAGATTAAATAAAAGACGTTTTATATGCGCGACTGAACTTTTTTAAGACGTGTTCTCGCTTTGAGATGAGTCGAAGAACTGCATAAAGAATGAGGGAGTCAAAAAGACCACAGCAACGAAGGCATGGATGCTTTCTTTCCAGGCTTCGTCATTTGGTTATATTATTTAGTAAACATTCGTTTAGAGTTTCGTTGTAAGACCGCTCAGACGGTCTCTCCAGGAAGAGTGACCTCATAGTTTAATAATCAAGTAATGTAGTTCAGTAATATGATCGCACTGCTTTTGCTCATTTCAATAGTATACATTCAATAGATAACAAATACATGGAAATCTTCGTAAATGGATCCTATTGTTACCTCTTGGTAACAAGAAGATCAAATGGAGGGTGTTCTGGGTCATAGGAAGGTCACAGAAGGTTTCGAAAAGTTTAGAATATGATGGGGTTTCGATTATATCAACATCAGAGTCTCATATCACAGAGAAAAAAAAGTTTGATTTTCAAGAACATGTCAAGGATTTTCAGGAACATGTCACTGATTTTCAAAAATTCATGATCAATTACTGGTGATAGCCGATATTGAATAGAATCACTCTGCTCATTAATGGTTAACATCACCGAAATTTAGTGATTGATTCCTAAGAATTAGAGATGGGTCTCTGAGAATCTTTTTTTTTTCTTATTTTACATTTTTCGTTATTTTACATCGCTTCGACCCGGTTAGGGTATACTGCGATGATCAAGACTTTAAATGGTTAGATCGCACCATTCTACCCGGGCGGGATTTGAACTCGGAACCTTTCGCATGTGAGGCAACGAACTTACCCACTGCGCCAAGCCACCGGGTCTCTCAGAATTAGTGATATTTCCCTAAGAATTAGCAACGATATCACTGGAAATTATCGACAATAGTTATCTAAGTGCGAATTCCTAATACTTGGGGATGCATCACTGAAAATCAAAACTCTGATTTCTCTGTGATGGATGCAAAGGTCTCAAGGGATCCTATGAGCTCATAAAGCGTTCATCAGAAGATCATATCAGCTCTGCTAAAGGTCAAGATGAAGAGGTGAAGGGAGACGGCGCCAGGTGAAGGGAGAATAAAGTCACAATCATAAAAATTACAGCCTCAGGAGACCCCTGCGTCCATTAATATTGTAAAGAATGGGTACATTTAATTAACAAATGACTGTTTATTCGAGATTTTGGGGCAAAAAAGAGATACAATAAGGAATGACACGTCCGCGGACTAGAAACGAAGGTGAAAGAATATCGAGAAAGAAAGAGACGATCGTACATGAAGGGGGTTGAGAGGGAGGAAAAGGGCAAATACACAACAATATTATTCACCAATCAAGGTGTAGTTACGTGGCTCCAATTCGAATAGACATAACCACTGAAAACGTCCCGTTGAGATAATGTAATCATCAAATACCGATCTTTACTCTACATCTTTACATTGTTGGTCTAATTTTAACCACTACCCTGCACTTGCCTTGGTGAATATCAGAGTAGTTATATAAGCTCGTGTTAATTTGAAATTTAAAGACTCATGCTGAATGCAAATGCAAGGTGGGAATTAACACATTCAGGTGGCGTCCTATTTTCTTGAATAGACATTGTACAACAAATTCGTGAAGTTGTGTGATGGTTATACAGGGAGAATGAGTGTATTCGCTATCCCCGCTCTGCGGTGGGCGTCAATTGTTGTTGACCCACCAAATTTTCACTCGCATATGGCTGTCACTCGAGTAACACGCGTCACGATAATGAGACTCTGTAACTCTGTATTTTCGTTCGATTAACGCTGTTTAGATGATAATGTTGGGTATCCGGGATTATCACGTCAATTGGTCTGCGTCCCACAGTCAATCCCGGGGAATTCAGTAGGTAAATTGAATATTCATGATATGTGGAGAAAAAAATGTTGCCCATAGACTGTAGGAACTAGTGTCTCCAACACGTCTTCATTCTCAATATTAGACATAAAAATGTGTCTTATCGGTTAAGTTCGTGATTTCTGGCATTTTGAATGTCTTAAAATACTACGTTTTTCCGTCTGAAAATAAGACGTTTGGTAGACAAGACATTTTTTAATGTCTTGAAGTACAACTCACCAAATCTAAGACGTTTTGGCTCTCTCAATTGAAGACACTTGGAGACTTCAGACATTATTCATTTATGACGGCGGCACTACGATAAGACATTGACGCCGACAAGACATGGAATGATGAGTCGTTTTCGGTCTTTTGAACGTCTAGAATCTTAATGTCTTAATGTCTTAATTTGAAACACTAAAATGACTCAAATTTGAGAACATAAACGTCTTAAGGAAGAAGACAAAAGTGTCTTAATTTCAAACATTAGTTTTTCTAATGTGGATGCGCTGTAAAATTAGTGTCTTTAAAACGTTTTAATTCAAGAGGTTAGACTTGAAAATGTCTCTTATAGACTAACATCGTCTAATTAATTTGAAATACTAAAAATGACAACAGTATTTTCATTGTAGGCGCTATTTTTTTGTTGTATCTGAGACAATTTTTATTACACTTTTTCCACCACGCGATAATGGAGTTTGGAAAGGCAGATTTTTTAGATGAAAAAATACGTATTCAATCGTAAAGAACATGACATTTCAACCCATCATTTTTTCTCCACTATTTCCCATTAAAAAAACAAAACAAATCGAATTTTGTTAACGAAAAGAGAAAATATCGACAGACGCACACGCATGTGAGCCACGATTCCCGTTTTTATCCAGCATTTTTCTATTTTTTTTTTGTTACAACACACGTCACTCGTGGAATCGCTATCGTCGGGACATTTTGCAATGAAAGAGCGAACACGTTGTGCGCGGGGTATAGTTTCGATGTATAGAGTACCGGGATATGACTGCAGGCCATTGCCTATATACAATCAGTAACGATGGAATGGCTCGTAAATTTTTCCGTTTTTTTTTTTGTTCAGAAAAATAAATTCGACAATTTTTTTCTGCGGGGGTTAAACCCCACTTTCTGCACAACTCTCGTTTTCTCTCGTCCATTTTTTCACTCGTCACGTGTATATATTTTCTTGCGCATTGTTTTTGTTTATAACCCCCGGGTTTTTTTTTATTTTGTTGCCAGTGACACTCGGACAACGTTAATCAATGCTCTTTATGGCATTTGACATTTGAAATACAGGAACGTTCAATCAAATGGTATAACAAAGCGCACCGCATCAATATTACGGGGGTCAATAACGCGCCTTTCTGGAGCACGGCTGGAGAGTGAATTTGCGAAATGAAAAATTGTGTTTTTTTAACATTCCAATTCACAAATAGATTGTCGTCAATGTTATTTATATCGGGGACAGGGAATTTTTTCCGCTTGAAATGCACTTTTGCACAACTTCCTCGACAACAAAGTGACGTAAAGTGCCACTTAAAATGAGGGAAGGAATGAGTTTTGAGGAATTGAGTCGTTCCAGTAATATCCTTCAGTGAATATGGGACGCTATCATCTCGAGCTTTTTTCTTTTTTAATTGGAGAGGTTCAGTTTGTTAAAATCAACACATTTTCTAATGTTCTTTTTTTAAATTTGTTAATTGAGAATTTCGTTTAACGTTATTTGAATTCATCTGCTCTATTGTGAATGGGGATTATGACTTTAACGCACGCACACTATTTTGATGAGGCCTTTGATTGCGTATATTTCGGGATTATAGCGAAATTACTGTAATCTAAAAACGTATTGGAATCCTTTCTAGAAAAAATCATGGGCAATAAAAAATAACATTAAATATTATTTTATCATATTATTGTAAAATAATTCTCGAATCGAAGATGAGAACTCGAACATGGAGAATATCTCGAACGAATGGAGAAAGTAAGGCGGTTTTTCATGAGTACAATCGTCTTGCGTCAAATTTTCATGAAGTCCGCCTGACCAACAAAAGAGAATTGAATACCATTCTATGAAACATGAATAAACGAATCATAATTGTCCAAATAATTTAGGTCAGAGGAGAATGAAATAATTCAACTTTCTTAATATTTCGTTTACTAAGGTTTTCTTCGAACAAAGTTGATTAGAATTAATAGCTAGAATTATGAGATTATCTCACATTTTTCACGTTAAGAATCGGAGAATCTGAATGCAATATAGTGAAAATGAAGATCGATTTTTTCACTTTGAACGAATAATATTAATATCCAAATACAAAGTTTCTGAGATGACTAAAAAGAAGCTGTGACTCAACATTCCAAATGAAGTTTTAATTTTTAATTTAGTTGAAAACACGAGATGACAATATTCTAAGCACGGAATTATATTGATGAGATGAACAACAGATTAATTGAGTTGCCGTGTGAACTAATTAAAAATTGATAATAGGGTGGGCACTCACTTTTATGAGAGTATCAACAAACATTGAATTCCGGAAATTCACACTCTACACGGAGAGAAATGTACGAGAAAAATTACCGTGCTCGCACAGTAAAGTGGGTTCAGATAGTTTTTCCAGGCGAAATGTACCGCAAAGAGTAGGAAAAAGTACTGTTGCACGAGTTTTTTTTCGGATAAATGCGGGAAAAAATTCTTGTGCAGCACGGCAAAATCGAAGCGACAGTGAATTTTTACGAGAAATACGAGAAAAATTATGACACTGGCTGGCAAATTTTTCCGGTGCTCCATCAGAATCCTAGGACCCGATTACGCATTCGCAAGATTTCGGCACTCGTCCCCCCTCCGCAACCACGAACATCAACTCAACGTGACCCGATGATTTATTCCGTCGCCTCCTCTAGCCTCCTCTCTCACATATCTTTCAGT